ACAACATTTCCTTCCAAACTGCCAATATCCCGAACCCCTCCTTTAGAGTGCAGGCATTGTATTTCCCATTTCCAGGACTCAAGTCCGGCTATATAAAAATAACATATAAAAATATGAAAAATAAAAATATAAAAATACATACCTATTACAAAATTTAATTGATAAATTATGCACAATAAGTGGAGAATTATCACTTTTTCACTGATGGGAAGCACTTCAGGGCTTCTCTTAGGCTTTGAAGAACTGCCAGCTGCTGGAGTGTGAGCAAGGTAACATTTATGAAGGGATTCAGGGAAACCGGCAGGCCAGACTTGATTTTTGGAGATGGGAAGTACAGTGCTGGCACTCTGAAGGAAGGGTGTTAATGCAGTTTTATAACTGTAGTGTAGGCATGCCTTTGGCAAGACAGTGATGGAGTGAGTGATGATGAAAGTTTTTCTTTTTTGGACCACCCTGCCTTGGTGGGAAATGGCCAATATATTAATAATAAAAAAAAATAGTAAACCGTGGATAACTGAAACCGCGGATATCAAATCAGTGGATACAGGGGTTCTACTGTATAACTGTTCAGAGTATGGTGCTATTTATTTCTACAATATAAGTCTGTTATTGGATGGGTTGTTGATGTGAAGATCACCTACAACCAAGGAATGCTCTAAGGATTCTAAAATTTCTTGTTCTTTGTTTTATTAATAAATACTAATGATATCATAATTTTATGTAAATGTACCAAATACAGTCCATTCCTTTAATCTTTTGTATAATATTTTCTAGGGGTTATTGGCAGTTTGGAGGGACATCTAAACATCTGTATCTGAGTGTGTCTGCAAAGACAGTGATTATGTACGAGTGATGGTGAAAGTGTTGAATGATGATGAAAGTTTATTCTTTCTTTTCAGGGTTTTCTTTCTTTTTGGGTCACCCTGCCTCAATGGGATATGGCCAGTCTGTTGATAAAAAAAAAAAACTTCCATGGGGGAAGTGGAAAAGAATTCTTCCTCCATAAGCCATGTGTGTCATAAGAGGCAACTAAATACTGGGAGCAAGGGGCTAGTAACCCCTTCTCCTGTTTACATTACTAAAAAGATGAATGGTTCAGAGAACCGACATGTTGATAAATTAGACACGTGTGCAACTCTTGGGTATCTTTATTGAGGAAACGTTTCGCCACACAGTGGCTTCATCAGTCCATACAAAGGAGAATCTTGAAGAACAGGAGGAGAATGAGGTAATCAGTCCCTCAACCTTGAGTAGATGTGGTCAGTCCATCAATCTTGAATAGAATACGGCATACGTGCAGAGAAGGAGCTTATAAACCGTAGACAGGAGAGGTGCAGTCAGACACTGCAACTTCTTGGGATCTTAATACTTGGGAATTCTTCGCTTGCCTAATTCTTGGGCATGACCTACTTCCACATTGAACAAATGTGACACCACCTATGACTGCTGCACCTCTCCTGTCTACGGTTTATAAGCTCCTTCTCCGCACGTATGCCGTATTCTATTCAAGATTGATGGACTGACCACATCGACTCAAGGTTGAGGGACTGATTACCTCATTCTCCTCCTGTTCTTCAAGATTCTCCTTTGTATGGACTGATGAAGCCACTGTGTGACAAAACGTTTCCTCAATAAAGATACCCAAGAGTTGCACACGTGTCTAATTTATCAACATTACTAAACAGAGAAACTTTCATTTTTCTTTTTAGTTCACCCTGCCTCAGTGGGATACAGCTGGTTTGTTGAAAAACAATATATAACAACACATCGACCATCTCCTACCAAGGTAGGGTGACCCGAAAAAGAAGAAACATTTTCCATTATCATTCACTCCATCATTGTCTTGCCAGAGGCATGCCTCCACTACAGTTACAAAGTTGCAACATATCAACATCCCTCCTTCAGAGCACAGGCACTGTACTTCCCACCTCCAGGACTCAAGTCCAGTTTCCCTGAATCCCTTCATAAATGTTACTTTGCTCACACTCCAAAAGCACATCAAGCCATAAAAACCATTCGTCTCCATTCACTCCTATCTAGCACACTCAGTATCCAAGCCCCTTCCACACAAAACCTCCTTTACCCCCTCCTTCCATCCTTTCCTAGGATGATAACTACCCTGCCTTCCTTCCACTACAGATTTAAATGCCCTCCAAGTCAATTTATTTTGTTCCATCCTCTCCAAAAGTCCAAACCACCTCAACAACCCTTCCTCTGCCCTCTGGATAATACTTTTAGAAACCACACACCTCCTTCTAGTCTCCAAGCTACAGATTCTCTGCATTATGTTCCAAATTATACCACTAAAGTAAATACAGTGGTCCCTCAATAATCATCCATAATCCGTTCCTGGAAGTGGGACTATTATCGAAATGGACGATTTACGAATCAATTTTCCCCATAAGAAATAATGTAAATTCAATTAATCCGTTCCTGACACCCAGAAGTATTAAAACAAAAAATTTTTTACATGAAATATAGATGTAGTACATAAACAATACAGTGGCAAATGATGAATTAAACATTAACAGAATAACACTTACCTTTATTGGCGATTCTTCTTTGTGTATGGAAGACTGGAGAAGGAGACTGATTGGATGAATTACTGTTTGGAAGGGGAATCCCCTTCCATCAACACCTTGGGTACCAATTGCTTTTCTGGGGTTACTTCTCTTCTCTGTTTCTTAATGCCACTAGGACCACCTTGAGAGTCACTGGAGTCCTGTCTTGCAAAAAAACTGTCCAGAGAGCTCTGTTTCTGCCGTCTCTTTAAAACTTCCCTAAAATGGGCCAAGACTGTCACTGTACAAGTTGCCGATATGGCTTGCAACATCCTTCTCTGGGTGATGTTTCTCCATAAATCTTTCCATCCTACCCCACATTTCAAAAATCTCCTTAATTTCTGAAGAAGGCACCTTCCTCCATCTCTCTTCCTCCTCCTCTGCAGCAAGATTCAGAGCTGCCATCTGTTGCTGTTCCTGCTGAAGCTCTTGCAGCTCCTCAGTGGTTAGCTCTTTGTTGTGGTCCTCCACCAACTCTTCCACATCCTCCAAACTCACATCCAACCCCATGGAAGCCCCCAGTGCCACAATGGATTTAACAACTGACATAGGCTCATCAGGGTCAGCCCCAAACCCTTCAAAATCCCTCTTGTGGACACAATCTGGCCACAATTTTCTCCAAGCAGAGTTCAAAGTCCTGGTAGTCACTCCCTCCCAAGCCTTACCTATAAGGCTTACACAATGGAGAATACTGAAATGTTCTTTCCAAAAATCTCGTAGGGTCAAGTGAGTGTCTGAGGTCACATTCAAGCACCTTTCAAACATTGCTTTGGTGTAGAGTTTTTTAAAGTTTGCTATGACCTGCTGGTCGATGGGTTGGAGGAGAGGAGTGGTATTCGGGGGCAAGAACTTTACTGTGATGAACCCAAACTCCTTCAGAATAAGGTCATCCAAGTTTGGAGGATGAGCAGGTGCATTGTCCATTACTAGGAGGCACTTGAGATCCAATTTCTTTTCCAGGAGGTAATTCTTCACACTAGGGCCAAACACTTCGTTGAACCACTCTACAAAAATTTCCCTCGTGACCCATGCCTTACTATTAGATTTCCAAAACACACACAATTTACTCTTCATAACATTGCTTTTCCTGAACACTCTGGGATTTTCAGAATGGAACACTAGTAACAGCTTCACTTTGAAATCCCCACTAGCATTAGCACAGAACATTAGCGTCAGCCTGTCTTTCATAGGCTTGTGTCCTGGCATTGCCTTTTCCTCTTGTGTAATGAAGGTCCTCTTTGGCATTTTCTTCCAAAAGAGGCCTGTTTCGTCACAATTGAACACTTGTTCAGGTTTCAGTCCTTCACTGTTTATGTACTCCTGGAATTCATGCACATATTTTTCAGCCGCCTTGTGGTCCGAACTGGCAGCCTCACCATGCCTTACCACACTGTGTATGCCAGTACGCTTCTTAAATCTCTCAAACCAGCCTTTGCTAGCCTTAAATTCACTCACATCATCACTAGTTGCAGGCAATTTCTTTACCAAATCGTCATGCAACTGCCTAGCCTTTCACAAATAAGCGACGTCATAAGACTGTCTCCTGCTAATTGTTTCTCATTTATCCACACCAATAATAACTTCTCAACCTCTTCGAGTACTGGTGATCTCATTTTTGTCAGCATATTTACCCCCTTTGCAACAACAGCATCCTTGATTTCCTTTTTCTTGGCTATGATGGAAGATATGGTTGTACGGGATTTGTTATACATCCTGGCCAGTTCGCCCACACGTACTCCACTATCATATTGTTCAATGATGTTTTTCTTAAATTCAATCGTATTTCTCACCTTCTTTACCAAAGGCTTGGCACTAGGAGCTTTCTTTGGAGCCATGGTAGCTTATTTAGCACTTAAATAACTTGCAAGCACTAAAATAAATTAAATATTATGAAATATTTCACTGGAGCACATGAGGGGACCGTCGCTCACTGGTAAACAATGGCACACTGGCTGGGAAGGAAAGGCCGAGGCGGCTCGAGGCCGCTCAGACCATGCATACGCGTCTGGGACGAAGGACTATTAGCGAGTTACCGGACCATTTCTGAGCCAATATTTTGACGAAAAAACAGGACTATTTCCGAAATGGACGACTTTCAGGCCGGATGATTATTGAGGGACCACTGTAGTATATATTTCTTGTAAGATATTCATTGTAAAACACTATTTCCAGTGTTGAATATACAGTCAAATAACAATATAATAAGCTACACTTGTGATTTTATGAGTATGAACTCAAAGGGAAAGCTCTAAGAAGGGACACAGCTCTTTTATTCTTAAAATAAATTTTACAGATGCCTGATTATTTTTTACATTGGCTGAGTTCAGCACGTGATTCATTATTCAATTATTCAAATTAACCTAGGGAAAGTCAACCAAGTCAAATACAGTACAACTCACAACCAGAACAGTAAGAAGTATTGATCGACAATTTGCTCACCTTCGTTGGGCAGACCATTAATGGCCTGTGCATCATTTTGGAGATGAGGTGATGTGGGTGGGTCACGGAGTGTGAGTGCCCATACTATGACTGAGGTGTCCCCACCACCTGTGGTCACCAACTTTGAGTCGTCATATGTCCATCGCACATTAGTGACATGCGCACTGTGACCACCATACTGACGGCACTTTTGCTCACCCTACAGACATGTTTTCACAAGATATTATCTTTGAATAATACTTTCAACAAACATATATACATTCTAATTCAACTTTATTTTTCTGTTCAGCAAAATCACTGTTAAATGGCCAATAAGCAAATTCTTATCTTAGCTTTTCTCTGTGGGTCTCAATAATTGGTTTTATTAACGTAAGCTTCCCTTTCCAATTTCGGAGGCCAGCTGATGTGGACCTAACTACATGTATATGTACACTTTGTCAACAAATCTATTTTCATGCCTAACATGATTATATATTATGTGAATGAAAAAAATAACGAATTCAGAGGTAACTCACTCACTAATGTTCAAGAAATGTTTAAATACAGTGGACCCCCGGTTAACGAACTTTTTTCATTCCAGTAGTATGTTCAGGTGCCAGTACTGACCGAATTTTTTCCCATAAGGAATATTGTGAAGTAGATTAGTCCATTTCAGACCCCCACACATACACGTACAAACGCACTTACATAAATACACTTACATAATTGGTCGCATTTGGAGGTGATCGTTCAGCGGGGGTCCACTGTACTGCACTTCATTCACAATGTCATATTAAAAAAAAAACTAACTTTGCCTATTATAAATAATTAATTGAAATTGTAATTTTACAGTATTACAAATTTATACACTGGTTCCATTAAGAAGAATGGTGCCTTGATACTGGTGACTGGCTCTAGATCCAAAGAACTGGAGTTATCTTTTACTTCCATAACCTGAGTACTTCAGATTCTCAAGGTGCTGCATGGCTTGTGTTTCAGTGTTAGTACCTTCAGCTCACAACTGAGAGACCTGGGTTCTATCTATTTGATCATCACTTTATTTGTATTAGTCCCTTAGCTCACTATTTTACATTTGTTAAATAATCTAGGTGCTATTTTTTAGCTTAAGACTATTTACTTTGTTTTATACTTAATTCAAACTATAGATTCACTACAAATCTTATGATTACAAGCATTGATCCTGATACCAACCTCTTATCTAATGACTTAAATGAATCAAACAGTTACTGTAATTACTACACTGCAGAGCAATCAAAGGCACTTCTCAGTGCCAACAACAACATAACTATCTTTAACTACAATATCAGATCTTTAAGCAAGCATTACGATGACCTCATAGCATTACTAAATTCCTTACATGCCAATATGTCCATCATTACACTAACTGAAACCTGGCTAAAGCCTGATAGTACAGATGTCTATTCCATTCCTGGATACACAGCCATACACAACTGTAGGCCAGACCAACAAGGGGGTGGCACAGCCATATACTACTCAGACCAACTACAATGTATCACTAATACTTGCACAAGGGATGAACATGGGGAATATATAATAGCTAAATTCAAATCCAAGTACCTACAAAAACCTCTCACATTGATAAACATCTACAGAGTTCCACAGTCAAACATTAGCCAATTTAGTCAAAATCTAGGAAGTATGATAACTGATGCACGCATGAACAAAGATCACTTACTACTCTCAGGTGACTTCAATATAAATCTCCTGCAAGACCAGGACCCACACGTTACTGAATTCACAAACACAATGAATAACTGTATGTTACTACCAACAGTAACAAAACCTACAAGAGTTACAGAGACTAGTGTTTCCCTACTTGACCACATCTGGACCAACACCATATCCCCTTTAAAATCAGGCATAATTACAGATAATACCACAGACCACTACCCTACTTTCCTCATAACAACTCTTGGTAAACTACCCCAAGACACTACTAAAGTCACCTTCAGACTTCACAATGAGGCAGCCATTAATAACTTCACAACAGCAATAGCAAACATCGATTGGCACACTGAGCTAGAAACCTATACAGATATTGACGAATGTATTAATAATTTTCTAAAAAAGACCCAATACCTCTATAACAAGCACTGCCCTAAAAAAACTAAACAGATGACAGCAAAGAGACTGAACAGTCCCTGGCTAACACCCAGCATTCTCAAATCCATAAATACAAAACACCAATATGAAAAACAGTACAGAATGGGTCACATAACCAGAGACCAAACAAAACGTTACTCGTCAATCCTAACCAGCCTGATAAGAAGGGCAAAAAAATTGTATTATGAGAACAGATTATCCAACTTACGAGGTGATATAAAAAAGACCTGGAAAACCCTATCAGAAATTCTGGGAACAAAAAAGATATCACGAAATAGCGAAATAAAATTAGCAAAATCAGATGAACCCCAACTCCCACCAACAGAAACAGCAAACAGACTCAATGATTTCTTCTCCACTATAGGACAAAACCTTGCCAATAAAATCCCAAGCTCAGATACCCCACCAAATGACTACCTCACCGGCAACTACCCGAACACTCTGTTCCTAGCTCCGACTAACCCATATGAAGTCTCCCTTATTATCAACGCACTAAAAAACAAGGCAGGAGATTTAAATACCTTACCACCCTTTATATACAAAAAAGTGTCACAAGTGCTATCACCAATCATTGCAACACTCTTTAACAAATCCATTGAATCCTCCACCTTCCCTACAGTACTCAAAATAGCAAGGGTCACCCCGATCCACAAAGGAGGAGACCAAACAGAGTTGAATAACTATAGGCCAATATCCAACTTACACCCTCTCTCAAAAATCTTTGAAAAATTAATTCATAAACGAATCTACTCCTACCTTATCTCCCAAAACATACTCAACCCCTGCCAATTTGGATTCAGGCCTAATAAAAATACTAATGATGCTATTATACACATGCTAGAACATATATACACTGCAATAGAGAAAAAAGAAGTCCCACTGGGGATCTTCATTGACTTACGTAAAGCTTTTGATACAGTTGACCATGACTTGCTCCACGTAAAATTGTCACACTATGGTATAAGAGGGCACTCCCTCAACTACCTCAAGTCATACCTCAGCAACAGAAGCCAATATGTGTACGCAAATGGGGCAAACTCTTCTGCGCAACCAATTACAGTTGGTGTCCCACAGGGAAGTGTCCTTGGCCCTCTTCTCTTTCTCCTATACATAAATGACCTTCCAAATGCTTCGCAATTACTCAAACCCACACTATTTGCAGATGACACTACATACGTCTTCTCTCACCCGAGCCCAGTCACGCTAGCCAATACTGTAAATACCGAATTACAGAAAATATCTACCTGGATGAGGACTAACAAACTTACACTAAACATTGACAAAACCTACTTCATTCAGTTTGGTAACAGAGCTACAGATGTCCCTCTTAACATAATGATAAACGGATCACCTATCACAAAACTAACAGAGGGAAAATTCTTAGGAATCCACCTTGATAATAGACTCAAATTTCATACACATATACAACACATCTCTAAGAAAATTTCCAAGACTGTAGGCATACTATCGAAGATACGGTACTATGTTCCACAGTCAGCCCTCCTGGCCCTATATCACTCTCTTATTTACCCCTATCTCACCTATGGAATTTGTGCATGGGGCTCAACAACAATTAACCATCTCAGACCACTAATTACTCAACAAAAGGCTGCAGTTAGAATGATAACAAATTCTCACTACAGGCAGCACACTCCACCAATATTCAATACACTAAACCTACTCACCATACAAAACATCCATACTTATTACTGCACCTATTACATACATAGAACACTTAACTCTGATATTAACCCTCCCCTCAAACATCTCCTTGCCAACCTCAACAGAACACATGACCATAACACAAGGCACAGATCACTCTTTGATGTTCCTCGTGTCCATCTCACACTATGCAAAAACTCAATGCACATAAAAGGCCCTAAAATCTGGAATTCATTACCTGTAAATATAAAAGAAACACTACCTGATTATAAATTCAAGTCTCTTCTCAAAGATCACTTACTCACCCAAAACCAAATAAATACTGAATAACTGAACCTTAAAATTGTTATCTTAAATTTTTTCTCAAAATTATATCAAAAAATGTTAAACCTAAAACCGAACTAATTTTATTTTTTTTTAAATCCTACCAAACAAATCACTACCTAACGAATGAAACCCAATACCGCCCTTTGTAATACTCACTTGTGCTTTAAAAAACTTTTACTTTTAATTTTTTTATACTTTTTCATCATTGCTTAGTTAATCTTAAAGTTAATTTTAACCCCCTGAAGCTATGCATAGTATAAGGGGTTTTTGGCATACTGCTTTTTTTTTTTTTTTTTTTTTTTTCAACAAGTCGTCGTCTCCCCCGAGGCGGGGTGACCCACAAAAAAGAAAGAAAACCCCCAAAAAAGAAAAAACTTTCATCATCATTAAACATTTTCACCACACCACACTTACACTGCTTTGCGGGTGCTCAGAATAAACATTTTAGAAGCAATAGATAGAGATACACAACATACCCTCCAAACTGCCAATACCCAACCCCCTTTAAAGTGCGGCATTGAAATTCCCATTTCCGGATCAAGTCCGCCCATATAAAAAAACCCCGGTTTTTCCCTGAATTTTTTATTTTTATTTTTTTTTATACACCCCGATTCCACCAAGGCAGGGTGGCCCGAAAAAGAAAATTTTCACCTCTTTAACCCCATCACTGTCTTGCCAAAAGGGGTGCTTTACACTACATTTTTTAAACTGCAACATTAACACCCCCCTTCGGGTGCAGGCACTGTACTTCCCATCTCCAGGACTCAAGTCCGGCCTCCTTTTCCCGAAAACCCCTTATAAAGTTACTTTCTCACACTCCAACAGCACGTCAAGTATTAAAAACCATTTTCTCCATTCACTCCTATCAAACCCTCACGCACCCTGGGAACCCCCCCCCCAACCCCTTTTAAATTTTAATAAAATTTTTATAAAAAAATAAAAAAATTTTTTTTTATTTTTAATTAAAAAAACCCCAAAACCCCCCCCCTTAAAAAAAATTTTAAAAAAATTTAAATAAAAAAAAATTACAAAAAAATTTAAATAATTAATTATTTTTTAAAAAAAAAAAAATTAAAATAAAAATTTAAAAAAAATATTTAAAAAAAATTTTTTTAAAAAAAAAATTCTTTTAAATTAAGTAAAAAAAAATTTTTTTAAAAAAAATTTTTAAAATTTAAAATTTTTAAAAACCCCCCTTTAAATATAAAATTAATTTAATATATTTTAAATTAATTAATTTTTAAAATAATTTTTTTTATTATAAAACCCCTTTCCTTTCACCTTTTAACCTTTTCACACCCTAAAAATTTTACCCCTTCTTTTGCCTTTCTTCGAAAACCCCAAAATTCATCGAAAAAGGGTAACCCCCCTTTTTTTTACTTTTAACTCCAACCTCTTAAACCCCCATTTTTCCTTTTTAACCCTCTAAAAATTTTCCCCGGTGACATCCCCCCCCCTTTTCTAAGGCCTACTTTTACTGGAAAAAATTTCCCTCTTTCCTACATACTCTAACTTGAGCCTCACTATCCTCGTAAAAACTCTTCACTGCTTTCAGTAACCTACCTCCTACACCATACACTTGCAACATCCTGCCACATTGCCCCCTATCCACCCTGTCATACGCCTTTTCCAAATCCATAAATGCCACAAAGACCTCTTTAGCCTTATCTAAATACTGTTCACTTATATGTTTCACTGTAAACACCTGGTCCACACACCCCCTACCTTTCCTAAAGCCTCCTTGTTCATCTGCTATCCTATTCTCCGTCTTACTCTTAATTCTTTCAATTATAACTCTACCATACACTTTACCAGGTACACTCAACAGACTTATCCCCCTATAATTTTTGCACTCTCTTTTATCCCCTTTGCCTTTATATTTATACTAAATATTACCCTGCTCACACTCCAACAGATCGTCAGGTCCCAAGTATCATTCGTCTCCATTCACTCCTATCTAACACGCTCATGCACGCTTGCTGGAAGTCCAAGCCCCTCACCCACAAAACCTCCTTTACCCCCTCTTTCCAACCCTTTCGAGGACGACCCCTACCCCTCTTTCCTTCCCCTATAGATTTATATGCTTTCCATGTCATTCTACTTTGATTCATTCTCTCTAAATGACCAAACCACCTCAACAACCCCTCTTCTGCCCTCTGACTAATGCTTTTATTAACTCCACACCTTCTCCTAATTTCCACACTCCGAATTTTCTGCATAATATTTACACCGCACATTGCCCTTAGACAGGACATCTCCACTGCCTCAACCGTCTCCTCGCTGCTGCATTTACCACCCAAGCTTCACATCCATATAAGAGTGTTGGTACTACTATACTTTCATAATTCCCTTCTTTGCCTCCATAGATAACGTTTTTTGACTCCACATATACCTCAACGCACCACTCACCTTTTTTCCCTCATCAATTCTATGATTCACCTCATCCTTCATAAATCCATCCGCTGACACGTCAACTCCCAAGTATCTGAAAACATTCACTTCTCCATACTCCTCCCCCCCAAAATTTGATATCCAATTTTTCTTTATCTAAATCATTTGATACCCTCATCACCTTACCCTTTTCTATTTTTCCTTTCAACTTTTCTACCTTTACACACATTCTCAAACTCATCCACAAACCCTTTTTGCAATTTTTCTTTAGAATCTCCCATAAGCACAGTATCATCAGCAAAAAAGTAACTGTGTCAATTCCCATTTTGAATTTGATTCCCCATAATTTAATCCCACCCCTCCCCGAACACCCTAGCATTTACTTCTTTTACAACCCCTTTCTAAAAATATATTAAAAAACCATGGTGACATTACACACCCGTCTAAGACCTACTTTTCCCGGGGAAGTATCTCCTCTCTTCTACACACCCTAACCTGGGCCTCACTATCCTCATAAAAGCTCTTTACAGCATTTATTAACTTACCACCTATTCCATAAACTTGCAACATCTGCCACTTTTGCTCCTCTATCCACTCTATCATATGCCTTTTCTAAATCCATAAATGCAATAAAAACTTCCTCCCTTTATCTAAATACTGTTTCACATATATGCTTCAATGTAAACACTTGATCTACACATCCCCACCCACTCTGAAACCTCCTTGTTCGTCCGCAATTCTACATTCTGTCTTACCTCAAATTCTTTCAATTTATAACCCTCCCGTATCTTTTCCTGGTATACTCAGTAAACTTATTCCTCTATAATTTTTACAATCTCTTTTGTCCCCTTTCCCTTTATATAAAGGGACTATACATGCTCTCCGCCAACCCCTAGGAAACCTTCCCCTCTTTCATACATTTGTTAAAAAAAAGTACCAACCACCCCAAAACCAATATCCCCCCCTGCTTTTAACATTTCTGTCATGATCCCATCATTCCAGCTGCTTTACCCCCTTCATTCTACGTAATGCCTCACGTACCTCCACCACACTTACAGTCTGCTCTTCTTCACTCCTAAAAGATGGTAACCTCCCTGGCCAGTGCATGAAATTACCGCCTCCCTTTCTTCCTTAACTTTTAAAAAGTTCCTCAAAATATTCTCGCCATCTACCTAATACCTCCCTCTCCCCATCACTAACTCCCCTACTCTGTTTTAACTGCAAATCCATATTTTCCCTAGGCTTTCTTAACTTTTTTAACTCACTCCAAAATTTTTTCTTATTTTCATTAAAATTTCTTGACATTTGCCTCTCCCACTCTTTAAATCTGCTCTCCTTTTGCACTCTCTCACCACTCTCTTCACCTTTCTTTTACTCTCCATATAATCTGCTTTTTCTTATAACACTTCTGCTTTGTAAAACCTCTCGTAAGCTACCTTTTTCTCTTTTATCACACCCTTTACTTCATCATTCCACCAATCACTCCTTTTTCCCTCCTGCCCCCACCCTCCTAAACCACAAACTTCTGCCCCACATTCTAATACTGCATTTTAAAATTTATTCCAACCCTCTCAACCCCCCCACTACTCATCTTTGCACTAGCCCACCTTTCTGCCAATAGTCGCTTATATCTCGCCCGAACTTCCTCCTCCCTTAGTTTGAACACTTTCACCTCCCTCTTACTTGTTGTTGCCACCTTCCTCTTTTTCCCACTACCTCTACTCTAACTGTAGCTACAACTAAATAATACCGATATATCAGTTTGCCCCTCTATAAACATTACATCCTGGAGCCTACCCATTTAACCTTTATCCACCAAAAACATAAACTAACAAACTACTTTCATTACGTGCTACACATACCTTGTATATTTATTTATCCTCTTTTTCATAAAAAAATGTATTACTTATTACCAAATTTCTTTCTACACATAGCTCAATTAAAGGCTCCCCATTTACATTTTCCCCTGGCACCCCAAAATTTTCCTACTACTCCCTCCATAACATTTTACCCACTTTAGCATTGAAATCCCCAACCACCATTACTCTCACACTTGATTCAAAACTCCCCACGCATTCACTCAAAATTTTCCCAGAATCTCTCTCTCTCCTCTACACTTCTCTCTTCTCCATGTGCATACACGCTTACTAAAAACCCACTTTTCACATCCAATCTTTATTTTTACTCCACATAATCCTTGAATTTATACATTTGTAGTCCCTCTTTTCCTGCCATAGCTTATCCTTCAACATTATTGCTACTCCTTCTTTGCTCTAATCTATTTGAAACCCCTGACCTAATCCCATTTATTTCCCCTCCATTGAAACTCTCCCACCCCCTTCAGCTTTGTTTCACTTAAAGCCAGGACATCCAGTTTCTTTCATTCATAACATCCACAATCATCTCTTTCTTATCATTTGCACAACATCCACGCACATTCAGACTTCCCACTTTGACAATTTTCTTCTTCTTATTCTTTTTAGAATCTTTACAGGAAAAGGGGTTACTAGCCCATTGTTCCCGGCATTTAGTTGACTTTTACAACACGCATGGCTTACGGAGGAAAGATTCTTATTCCACTTCCCCCTGGATATAAAAGGAAAAGTAATAAGACCAAGAACTATTAAGATAAAATCAAAGAAAACTCAGATGAGTGTGTATAAATAAACGTGTACATGTATGTGTAGTGTGACCTAAGTGTAAGTAGAAGTAGCAAGACGTACCTGTAATCTTGCATATTTATGAGACAGACAAAAGACACCAGCAATCCTACCATCATGTAAAACAATTACAGGCTTTCGTTTTACACTCACTTGGCAGGACGGTAGTACCTCCCTGGGTGGTTGCTGTCTACCAACCTACTACTCTTATCTGTATTTTTTTGTACCTCTGTATGTGTGCACAAATTGAAGTGTGTGTGTAGTGACCTGCTGCCTCTGTTCATCTAATAGTTAGTATGGTTATCCTAAATTATGAACCCTGGATAATAATACAATGGGCACATAATTGGTATAGGCATACATTGGTTGTACCACATGTAGATGTATCTTAGGATAACCAAAGATCAAGTATGTGTTTAATAAAAGCTCTCCAATTAAACTATCACACTCAACACCAGATAATGAGTGACCCAGACCTATCTGCTTTTTGTGTTGCTGCTCACAGGATAAGAATGAGGTGCACAGTAAACTAGCCACTCAGGTGGCACAACCAACTGAACTATACAACGAGTTTAACATTTTTTTATTTAATATAATTATAAATACCTGACATGGGTATCTGAAGAGGCTGACCAGACCCTGATCATCTGAAGCAGTAGCTACAAGAGGCAGGTTGTGTGCTGTAGCGACTGCATTAATGTCTGTCAAGTCCATGTGTGGGGCCCAGACACCCTCAACGGTAGCATCCAAGGGACACGTTAGTGGTGAAGCCCAAGCCAGTTCAGTATTGGTGTTCTCAGGAATTAACTGATGGGTACCATGTGGAGCCTCATAGAACAACTGCTCTCCAGCCCCTGTGTCACATGTATGAATTAAAAGTTAACAAAAATTTCTGGTTATTTAAAAGTTGAAAAGAATTGATGAAAATTTAGTTAAAAAAAGTTTTGGTGAAAAGGGGATTAAATTAAGAAACTTTATTAGACCTTTTAATTGTAGTTTATATATATGTTGTTTACAAACTTTTTAGCTGCACATAAACAATAAGGATAAAGCCCAACCTGTATTGATTTGAAGGAGTTTAGAATCTTTATGCCAGGTGAGGTGGGTGATCCAGGAGGAGGCACCCTGGCACTGGCCGACTCTATGTAGACTTGATCCCTCCTTGCTTGTATCATCCTCACTTATGTTCACTGCATAAATATCAACCAGACACTCATGAGAACCTACAGCAAGAAAACAACCATCTGGAGAGAACCTGATATCAGAGATTCCCTCAGACCTGTGATGTATCGCTCCTTGCTTTTCCAGACTAGGATACTGGTACAAGGCAACACTTCCTGTAATGAAACCAACATCAAATAACTAAATAACTATATAAGAAGGGTTGAGTGCATGTTTTCTTATGAGGTGATATGTAGTCTGTCATTATCGTTGTAAGTTTACTCACAGGATGAATGTCACTGCCCAATAAAATCTCTACTTGGAGCAAAATCCCATACGAGTTTTTAATTTTTAACACATTGGCCATATCCCACTAACAACCAATGTGTTAAAAAAAAGAAATACACTCATCATTTATTTAATGACTGCTATGCCAGCAATGTGCTGCCATCACAGTTCAGATGTTCCTCTAAACTGCAACATCCTCACTCCTTCTCCAGAGTGCAAGCACTCAAAGTTCCACCTCCAGGACTCAAGCATGGCTAACCTGCACCCCTGAATCCCTTCCTAAATGTTACCTTGCTCAAAGATGAAGATAAAACGATAAAGATTTTATTTATTTGTAAAGGTTACAATGTGTAATTACGATTTTGGTTTGCTAAGTACAAACTTCATCACCACATCACCATAAATACCCCTAGCCTCCACTCACTTTGGTCTAACTTGCTTATACAAGGTTGATGGATGGTCAGGCCCATAGCACTCAAAACATTTACCAATTTTTAATATTATTCTAGTAATAAAGCTGGAAGGAAATTGTATTTTTTTTATGAAGAGCAGAACCTGTTTAGGTCATTTAGCATATGGGGTGGGGGAGGCTCGATACTACGTATATATGCTAATTGTGAACCAGTCGCTGACCAAGCTGTTGCACAGCTGTTAAGACACTCAATACACAAGGTTAAAATCAACAACAAAAAACATGAACATTGTACATAATTTTGTTTTGTCCATCATGACTGAAGAATCAACTGACTTTTAATACTTAATTAATACTAAATTAATACTAAATTAATTCTTAATTTCCACTCCAGTAGCTTATTCTTAATTTCCACTAGAAAAGTACATTGCTAAAAACTTACAATTTACATATTTTATACCTTATGTGAAATGTCAGGAAGGAAAAATTAAGATTCCTTCCAAAATCTATTACTATAACTAATGATAAAATACTGACCAGATTTTACTTGGGTTAATAACCTAGGATAATCTAAGGAAGATAAACAGTGTGGCTTATTTCCATCAGGGTTCATGTCTTTTTCCAGGATGCAGCTCACAACCATCTACTATATAAAATGCCTTGGTATCTACTTCTGTAAGGGGTAGTGGAGACTTGCCCATATGTCCTGCCTCACCAGGTTCAATCCTTGTACTGTACTATCTTTTATTAGCTATAAGTTTTACCTACTCACTACAAAGTACACAAGTACCAGAATTGCAAAAATCTGAGAAAAGACTGAGGGCAGAGTTTACTAACCATCTAGGTAGCCAAGTACCAGAAATAAACCACTAGGATGGAAGTGAAGACATCGTGCAGTCTTCCTGAGGGTGGCACTGCCCAAAGCATGACCCTCCAGATTCCAGCATCGCAGTGTATTGTCACCTCCTACAGTCACTGCCTCCATGAGGCTAGGGTGAGTGTCCAGGCCCCACACCTCACCCTTGCTGTGTCCCTTTAATACCAATCAGGCAAACATATCATTAAGTAACTGGATGTTGTCAATAACAATCAAGTAAACTTGATCATAGGGTAATCAGGTGCCTTCAATACCAATCTGTTAAACTTGTATCATGAGGTGCCTAGGTGCTGTCAATACCTTTTTGGTAAACTTATAAAATTACGTACACAGGGGCTTTCAACATTATCTGCAAAACTTATACCATAAGGTCCCTAGATGTCTTCAATAATTTTAAAGAGTAAAAATACAGGACTAAACTGAAATGAGCTGCCAAGATAGAATAACAGCTCTTGCTCCGTAAATTCAAATGTGTAAAATACAACTGAGAAAAGTCTAATTGGAAGTAGCCCATACATATAGAAACAAGTTTAGCAAATTGTTCTAACCTGCACCAGAACAGTGAATTTTCCATCAGCATCCATAAAGAGAAGTTCAGCATGGTGTGTGGCTACAAGAATAGGCATGACAGTAAGGGGGGCAGCAGACAGGCTACGCAGCCCTGGCTGTGAAGAGTTGAGACTGACAGTGCTGGTGTCCTCAAGCAAGTGGTCTGTCACAGGGAACACTTTCACACACTCCTTCATCTCAGTGTCCCACTTGCTGACATATCCACATTGGCCAGCTATCCACACGCTCTATCAAGAATAAAGTAATTCAAGTTTCAATTACCCACCTTTTTTTATTATTTGAAAATATGCACAAGTCGAAAATAATTATTGAAGATTCATCCTCCTCCTAGGCAAGACAATTAAAACGAAATGTAAATCTTTGGCATGCTAATTTTTGACACCAAAAATAACCTAGCAATCCAACTTAACCTTACTAAATTGACAACCAAAGGTTTGCCTTGAAGCCAAGCAGGATGCCTTAAGCATTACTGATGACTAATTTCCTACCCTATCTATGCACATACATAATTATGTGTGTTTTAACTGAGGGGGAAACAGGAAAGGAAATCTTCAAATGACTCAGCACTGTTAACTTACCTCATGGGTTACAAGTATGGTGTATATTGGCCCTTTATGAGCTTTAATAGTTCTCTCCACTTTGGCATCTCTGACAACCAGCACATCCCCTGATGACAGCCCCAGCAGCCACCACTCTGTGTCTCCCTTGCCCCCTCCCACACTGCTGCACAGAACTGTATTCTGAAAATCACCAAAGTCAACATTACCATAACTAGTTTCTTAGATCAAAACTGAATTCTGTTATGAAGAGAGGTGGCTGGCCTTGGTGAAACATCTACTATATACAATTTATTTATGAAACTGATAACAGTTTACTTGTTGTGTGTACTGCATACAGGGGTTCAAAATTCTTTATGAATGCCATTTCACACCAGCTGGGTGAAAGCAAAGAGGCATGAAAAAGAGCTAGAAGTCATTACGTACTTGGAAATTCAGATAGGTAATTAAAATCTATAATAACATACACATTAATAAATATAATGACTAGTCATCACAGAAGAGCCTTTGGCTTCAAGAGAATGAAGATATATATAAAAATGTGGATTAGGCTTCCTTGACTTGGACTGAATATTTTATTCTATCAAAATATGTTTGCTGAACACACAAATGTCAGGTCTGCAGTCATCTCATTGAGACATTGTAACAAATAATCGCACCTGTTTGAACTGCTGTCCAAGCACCAACTGATTGTATGTGAGGCTACCTTCTGTCTGCGTCCAGAACTTAACATGTTTAACACCATAGGTGACAAGATGATTGTTGTCTGAGGGGCTGAACCTCACCCCAAACACTTTGTCACTGTGGCCTCTGTGAATAGCAGATAACCACTGTAATGTAATAAAAGCTATGCAAATAAATATGATGCAACTATGAAATTAATTTTGATAGCATATTTTAACCCACACAATACTTTATTAAAAACATATTTAATCACAGAAAGAAAGAATTCAAAGAACCTTTTAAAATATCAGCCATTTCTCTTCAAAGAGATGGTGATTCCAAGACAAACACATTTGCCATCACCCATTTCCCACCTGAATTACAGAACTGCATGAACATTATAATTCAAATGATCCCAACATTTGCTATATGCAAAAGAAGTAAATAAGTTATGTTAACTTGGAGGTAACAAGACCCACCTAGCTGAAGCTAGCTTGTATCCTTTGTGCCAGTTCCACAGGACGACAGTGTGGTAATCATCAAGACCCAGTGAGGCTAGCAGATCCCCATCACCACTGAAGTTCACACTCACCACGCCTACTGTGTGTCCACCTTCTAACAGTGATATCATGCACACCTCCCTTGCATCCCACACATGCACAGTGGCTTCTCGTCCTACCTTAAAGTCAAACACAAAACTAAGTAAACTGAAAGTTATCTATTAGGGTGAAATTCAAGTACAAGTGTAATAAATAATAGTCAATGGCAAAAACAATCCCACATGGAGACAAGAGAAAAGATAAGTACAGTAGGACCCCGGTATCCAGGGGGATACGTTCCAAGACCTGCCACAAATATCTGAAACTGCAGATAGTAGCAAACCCTATATAAAAGTTGTTTGCACAGTAAGAGAATTATAAATTTTTCACTGATGGGACACACTTACCAGCTTCTCTCAGGCTTTGAAACAACTATCACCATCACTATTTTTGCACTTTGTGACATTATTAAGCAAATATAAGGGTTATTTTCAAGCCAGGGTAGACTGCAGATAACTGAATGGTGGAAACCAGACCTGCAGATATGGCAGTCCTACTGTGTTATAGTATATTTAAGCCCTCTTCAGCACTGTCCTCTTCAGCAAACTGCTGAGAAGGGCTTAAACTCATTTTGAATCACATTCCAACCTCCTCTTTTCCTCATAATACAAAAAATAAAACAGACATTGAGTGAATAAAGACTATAAAAAAAACAAATTATTAAAGCAAATGGGAATTAAAGAAAATACTCTTCATCATTTAACCAATACTGTTATGGATCTCAAACAAGAATTCAAAATTTGCAACAATAAGCTTGAACAGTTACATACTAGTTGGTAAGTACAAAACAAAATACAACAAGGAAACAATTAAAGGCAAAGAATAAAAATACTAATATGAGAAAAAAAATGGTTTATGGAAATATAACTTGTTAAACAGCTAATAAAGAATGAGTATACCTGCACAGAAATATTCAACACATTAAATTATCTCTCGTAGAGTTGACTTTTTTACCTGACCAGACATGACCCTTGAGGGTTTAGCACTTATTTCTGATTGTAATAATAACAATAATAATAATACCTGACCAGATGCAACAAATTCTCCCCCAGGGTGAACATCAAGACAGAGAATGTCATCAGTGTGTTGTAGGTAGTGACGTTGAACTGTCGTGTTAGGGTCACACACTACACCTATGGCAGCTATGTGATACACCACCTGTCTATTTTTGAGCCAGTGGGCATTGTTCCGGCATTCATGGACACGTACTCTGGCAAAACAAATGCTGGGTTGAATAACATCTATTAATCAAGTTTTTTTTTTTTCAACAAATTGGCTGTATCCTACTGAGGCAGGGTGACCCAAAAAGAAAAATGAAAGTTTTTCTTTTAAAATTTAGTAATGTATACAGGAGAAGGGGTTACTAGCCTCTTGCTCCTGGCATTTTAATCGCCTCTTATGACACACATGGCTTACGGCAGAAGAATTCTGTTTCGCTTCCCCATGGAAATAATATTCAAAAGTGTTTACAGCATTTTCTTTAAACAGAACAGAGACAAAATGAGAGAAAGTTCATACCTAAACCAGTAAATGTGGCCTAAAGCTACATTCCAAAACTAATGGTCATTTACTAATTACTTATGATTTTTAAAATCATAAGTTGAGAACATGATAAATTTGATTTAAGAATTTTAGAAAGTTTATACATTAGGAAGCCCAAGCCTGAGCTTAATGACAAGTCCTCAGTGGTTTTATTATTTATATTAAAATAGTTATGGTCCTCCCTTGCTTGAGTGTAACTGGTCAACCCCCAGTAAGATAGCAGACTAATTGCTACATCTCTGGCTCTACTCCTTGTTCATGACTCGTTTTAAATGATGGTGATGGGTTCCACCAAAACTGATAATAAATGAATTTTATGAGGGGAAAAAGCCTTTTCTGCTGGCCTCATATATAGTATAAACAAAGTGAACATACCCAAATACATGGTGTAAATGAAGACTATGCTCAGGCTGAGTGTTTTCCTGTGACTTTCCACTCTTAGCATTTCGACGCTTGGCGAAAGTCGAGTCCTCAGCTATTTTGACTCCTAGTGCAGAACTATCTCTATTCTTATTTTTTCCTCGTTGTCTATAAGTAACAAAACAGAAAGTTTATTAGCAACTGCTAAAATAGAATTTACTCTCAACCCTTCTGGGCCTTTCAAATATCCAGCTGCAGAGCTGAATAGTGAAACTCCCACTGACTTTGGTTAGCACCTTTCAATGACTTAGTGCAGATTTCTTGAAATATTTCAGCAAGTTAGTTATAGAGATTAGCAAGTACATGCACGCATGCCTGCATGTGCATGTACGTTCACCCCACCCCCACACACATACACAGCAAAGCTCTTGGAGCAGGGACCTCTTCAAGGGGGGCTCCTTGGCATGGTGAAGAGGCTCTTGGTCTGAGGAATTAGACCTGCTGGTCTTCTTCCTCAGACCGAACCTAATTACCCCCCATTCTCCCCTCCCCTATCCCATCCTCCCCTTTTTCCATTCCTCCTCCTCCTCCCCACCCCTCCCTTTTGCACTTCCTCTTTTTGGCCTTTGGGATTTCTCCCACAGGCACGCTAGTTCCTAGGTAGGGGAAAGGACACCGGGGTCCATCCCATTCCGTTTAGGTTCTTGGCGGTGGCGTAGTTTGCCGTGGAATCTGGATCGCCTGGGGATGTCCCGATCCCTCTCCGGCATCCCAGAGTAGCTTTGGGTGTCTTTCGGGTGACGGGTGTATCTCTGGAAGCCACCTTTTGGATTCCGGGGGTGGTGGCCGAAGGAGGTATGCTTTGTGGCGGATATCCGGCCGCCCTCTCTTTTGTCCACCGAGGTAGTTCGGCAGATGTGAGGTTGCTATCCCGGATTGCTGGTTTACTGGCATGAAGGGTAGGGTATGGCACGGGTTCCATGCTGCATCTGCACTATTAGCAGTGCTGAGGTCCTCTTGGGCGCGGAGGGAGATTTCCGGCCCTTTCATTCCTCCTGGGAACTATTCCTCCCCGCTCCCCCCTTTTTTTTATTTTTTTTATTTTTATTTTTTTTTCTTCTTTCTTTTTTTCTTAAAAACAAAAAGCAAAGGAGTAACCTAACCATGGAGAACCCAATCCATGAACCCACTACCCCCGGGCCCCTTCTTGATACCACACCCCATTCTGACCCTGCCTGTTTTTTAGACCACTCTTCGACACTCCTGATGCCTCTGTACCTCTTGCTAGTGCTGTTTCCTCACCCGCTTAAAGGTACCGGGGCTTCGACTGACTCCTTCGATTTGTCTGAACTCCGCTCTCCTTTACTATGCTTCCGGCTTCCTCCTCTACGGACGGCAATTTTTCCCGAATCGCCCGCCCATTCACGCCGGACCAACCCCGGTCCTACTCCTAAACGCCAACTCAATCTCCTGATGATGCTCCTTCCGTTACCTTCCCATTCTACTCCGGAAAAGACCAACACTCAAGCACCCCTCTCCCACGCTCAGTTTGGGACCACAAAATGGCCCTAAATTCTTTACTTTAAGACTGATTTCTTCTTCTGCCTACCTTTCTACCATAGTATTGGCAAAGCGCTCCTGCGTCCATGTTGGTAGAGATATTTCATTTCATGCTCTCAAGAGCGGTACGCGCATCGCCCACTGTCCAGAATGCTACCCAAGCTCAGATCTTTCTCTCCTTTCGAATATCGATACTACTCCTATCACTATTGAAAAACACTTCTCTCAATTCTTGTGTGGTACTGTCATTCGCCCCAATACCATAGTCCAACAGAATTTCCATCATGGGGCAATGACATTCTTGAACAGCTGGAACTCCAGGATCTCCCAATCCTAAAAGTAGACACTCATGTCCTTCCTGCCCGGGGCGGAGACTTACCCTTGCAATGTGGCTCGTTTAATTTTTGACAGCCGAGAACTCCCGTCCTCTGTATATGTCGCGGAACATCGGTTACAATTTCGAAAGGTGATACCTACACCGCAACAATGTAGAAATTGCTGGCGTTTTGGTCACCCAGAGAAATATTGCACATCTATGGCCGAATGCCCAGTCTGGGTGGCCGACGCCCAAATTCTAATATCTTGCAGTCAACCTCCATCTTGCCTTAATTGTAATGAAGCTCCCCCTTCGTACTCCCGCCGTTGCCAGGTCTACTTAAAATGAACGTGAAATCCGTTGCCTCAAAGAGGCAAAAGGGTCTCCCTTATCCCTATGCAGTTACTCATCCCCCCGCCTCCAAGGGAGACACCCCCTGTTCTTAATCTCGTGTTTCCAAACATCCCCCCACTTCCTGGGTCCCATCTTCTGCAGCCTCCTCTGTTGTTACCCCTCCCATTACCACTCCAGCATCTAATCCTTTTGCTGTCCTTGGCTCTAAATGCCCCAACTACAACTCAGCCCTGTTCCTCACATCTTCGTGTCCTTCCTCACAAGCCCCAGTATCGACAAGACCTCGTACGACACCTAATACCAATCGCCCCTTTTACTTCTCAAAAAGTCCAAAAAATCACATTGCTCAAATCTTCTTTGCCCCTCCTTCCCTTCTTCCACCTCCACACTTTACCTTTCCAGTCTCTGTACCTAGTTTCTTCCCTCTCTCTGGCTCTATTACAAGTGTGGAGATTCACCCTCCTCCTCGTACTATGCATTCCACCCCGTCCCCTCCCAAGTTTCTCCCCTCTTCTGCCACCTCCCAGGTTTCTGCCTTTTCTGTCCCCCCCCCCCCCCACACTTCATCTCCAGTCTTTCCCTCCCCCTCTACTTTGGTACAGTCCATTACTGTCCCAATTTTTACTCACCCTCCTCCTTCTATCTCCAATATGGTCTCCCTACTCTTTGAATTCAGAAACACTTGAAGCCATTTCAGAATATATTAAGAGACTAAACCTTCAATAGACACTGATTCACTTCCTGTTCCTTCTCTTCCCTCTCCTCCATCTTCAAAACCCCTTTTCTTCGCAACGCTCCCGTTCCTCGCTGCTTGAACGTCTTCCAATGCCACCACACGTTGACTTTTCTAACCCCCAGTCCATAGGTGCCTTTACCTACAGATTCCTGGTATTTTCTTCATCGCCAATCATGGCCTATTTACAGTGGAAAAATCCGCGCCTCAAGGGTAATCGGGTGAGCTTCAGATGTTGCTTTCCAGGTTTTCCCCTGTTGGGCTTGCTTACAAAAACCCCAAAATTACACTCGGCTGTTTTCCCAAACCTATCTCAGGCTAAAATTTATTGTATTCTTCGGATCCTTTCTCAATGGGACCTTTAATGAAATTGCCCTTCTTCTACGCAATGATATTCCATACTGGCCAACTCTTTGCCCCATACCTCGCTGAAATTACACTGCGCCCCGTATCCACTTGAATAAGTGGTTTACAATATGTTCTTTATATCTCTCTCCTTGAGCATTTTCTATCCAGACTTTGCCTTTTCCCTTGTTTCATCCTTACCACCACCACTTCTGTTACTTGGTGATTTTAATGCCCACCATTTCCTCTGGGGGGGGGGTCTCACTGGGACTCACTTGGCATTAAGTTGGAGGCTTTTCTACGGCCTCTCACCCCCTCCATTTTTTAAAATACGGGTACTTCCCACCCATTTTGAACCTCGTACTCATACTCTCTCTCTGCACCCGATCTATCATCTCCCTCTTCCTCCACTGCACTAGACTTAAACCTGGTCTGTTTCTACCGGACTTACATGACAGCGATCATTTCCAATCATTCTTACTTCTCCTTCCTATTCACCACTTTTCCATAGCCCTCGCTGGCAATTTTGATCGGGCAAATTGGGGATCTTTACTCACACCTCACTGCTTTTAGTGAGGTTCCTTCTTCATCCTCCATTGATGACTCCTACCCCTTCCTCGACGTCAGTTTTATACCGCAGCTTCTCATTCTATACCCCAAACCTCAGGGAGGCATTCTCAGAAGTGCGTGCCTTGGGGTCTCCTGCTTGTGCTCGTGCAGTACGTTTGAAACGCCTGCAATGGGCAGGTAAACCCGTACAATAGAACCGCTGAGAGACTTCTTGATTTTAAGCAGAAGCGTGCGATCGCATCGCCATGTCATCCGTGAAGCTAAACGCATTTTTTGGCGAGACTATGTTTCCCACCATCCCCCTCTGCTTCTTCTATGAGTGCAGTCTGGAAAAAAGTGAGGAAATTGAGTTGGGAAATACTCTCCTGACCCCGGGTCCTGTTTTACGGGTCGCTGGTGTTGATGTAGCAAACCCTCTCGACGTTGCCATTGACCCTTTGGGCCCCCATCTGGTCTGTATTTCCCGAGGGCTCCATCTATGCCCCTCGTTTCTTTCCTCAAAGTCTGCCAGAGAGTTTTGTACCCTTGGACTTTTCTTCTCCCCAGAGAAGAACAGTATAAATGTGCCTTTTAAAACTTCCAAGAACTAGAGGGAACGCTCTCAGCTTGCCGATCATCGGCAGCTGGGCCTGACGACATTCATATTCGTATGTTACAAACATTTACATCGGTCAGCCCTTTTAGTCCTCTTACACCTCTTCAATCTTATTTGGGCACAAGGAGTTCTTCCCCCGCTGTGGAAATCTGCATTGTTCTCCCTTTCCCCCAAACCGGGTACTACAGGACATGATGCCTCCCACTATCGTCCCCATCACTCTTACTAGTGCAGTTTGCAAAGTGATGGAACGTCTCGTAAATCGACGTTTAATTGGTATTTAAAAGACACACAACAGTCCCCTCCGCAGTCAATATGGCTTTCGCAAGGTTGTTCTACCATAGACCCCTTACTACGCTTGGAAAACGTATGTTCGTAATGCCTTTGCGAATAATCACTCAGTTTATTGCCATATTTTTTGACCTTGAGAAGGGAAATGACACAACTTGGAGGTATAAATTTTTTGGGCCCCGGCCCCCCTTCCTTTGGCCTCCGAGGCAATCTACCATCCTTCCTTAAGAACTTTTTAACTGACAGACATTTCCGTGTTCGAGTCAATAATGTTTCTTTCCCCGGACTTTCGTCCAAGCTGAAGGGTGTCCCTCAGGGATGTGTTCTAAGCACAACACTTTTTCCCCCTTTCTATAAATGATTTAGCCTATGTTCTTCCACCAATAATTGGTCATCACTCATGT